AACCCGCATTGCGCCAGAGGGTCGTCGTCGTCGTCGTCGCCCGACTCGCAGAGCCCGGCCTTGATGCACTCGGTGTTTTCCGCGCTGCAGTCGGAGCACGTCGCGTCGAGCGTGGTGCAGAACGTCTCGGAGTCCGTGGACTCGAAGAGGCCCATGGCGCAGCTCTTGCACGCGTCGTCGACCTCGCAGTGCGCCAGGTGGTCGTCGCCGGCGCTGTCGTCGCTCGACTCGCAGAGCCCGGCCTTGATGCACTCGCTGTTTTCCGCGCTGCAATCGGAGCACGTCGTGTCGAGCGTGGTGCAGAACGTCTCGGAGTCCGTGGACTCGAAGAGGCCCATGGCGCAGCCCTTGCACGCGTCGTCGACCTCGCAGTGCGCCAGGTGGTCGTCGCCGGCGCTGTCGTCGCTCGACTCGCAGAGCCCGTCCTTGATGCACTCGGTGTTGCCCGCGCTGCAGTCGGAGCACGTCGCGTCGAGCGTGCTGCAGAAGGTCTCGGGGTCCGTGGACTCGAAGAGGCCCATGGCGCAGCTCTTGCACGCGTCGTCGACCTCGCAGTGCGCCAGGTGGTCGTCGCCGGCGCTGTCGTCGCTCGACTCGCAGAGCCCGTCCTTGATGCACTCGGTGTTGCCCGCGCTGCAGTCGGTGCATGTCGTGTCGAGCGTGCTGCAGAAGGTCTCGGGGTCCGTGGACTCGAAGAGGCCCATGGCGCAGCCCTTGCACGCGTCGTCGACCTCGCAGTGCGCCAGGTGGTCGTCGCCGGCGCTGTCGTCGCTCGACTCGCAGAGCCCGTCCTTGATGCACTCGGTGTTGGCCGTGCTGCAGTCGGTGGAGCACGTCGCGTCGAGCGTGGTGCAGAACGTCTCGGAGTCCGTGGACTCGAAGAGGCCCATGGCGCAGCCCTTGCACGCGTCGTCGGCCTCGCAGTGCGCCAGGTGGTCGTCGCCAGCGCTGTCGTCGCTCGACTCGCAGAGCTCGGACTCGATGCATTCGATGGTGCCCTCGCTGCAGTCGGCCGAGCACGTCGCGTCGAACGTGCTGCAGAAGGTCTCGGTGTCCACGGACTCGAAGAGGCCCATGCCGCAGGCCTCGCAGGCATCGCCGAAGTCGCAGTCTTCAACGGCGAATGCGAGCGGGGACGCAGCGAACGGGTTGCGCTTGACGAACGTAGCTGCGCCCATGCCTGCGCAGAACACGGCGGCCAGCACCGCACCTTGGCGAAGTCGGGACGAGTTTTCGGGCTTCTGGAGCAATGGGACTGCGCCGTACCCGGGCTTGGACTCGTCGTTGATGAGAGCTGCCATGTCGATTGATGGTGTGTGTTGTGGTGTGTAGATCGCGCTCGCTGCTGAAATCGGGCTGCTTTCGAGAATCGCACGTGGCTTCCTGACGTCAAAACTGCTGAAGAGCAATGAAACCAATCGAAGATTCTGGCTTCCTGAGGTCACGACTGCTATGAAAACCAATGAAATTGCAAGTGAAGATGTGCACCTGCATTAGTCGACACTTGAAGAATCCCTGGCGCCGAGGCGTCGGGCGAGGGGCCTGTCCGCCTTCCCCGGCGGCGCGCAGGAGTCGCCCGACACCGCGCTCGCGACGTGGACGCATCCGTGGTACTCGTAGTCGGCGCCGGCCGGCCGCCTTTGAAGCCGCGGCCTCCGAGTCGGCTGTTCAAAGCCACGCGTCTTACACGCCCCGGTTAACATTAGCACATACGTCCGCCCTTTCCTTAGAAGCGCCGTCTCTTCACGCCCGGAAGCCGTCGACCTCGAGGAGGCCGAGGACGAGCGCGACGCCGAAGCCCGTCGCGCGGTCGTCCTTGAACGCGGGCCCCGCGATGTCCACGTGGAGCCACGCGCCCGCGTAGTCCTTGTGGAGGCTCTCGCCGATGAAGTTGCCCGCGCAGGACGCCTGCGCGTCGTTGCGCGCGGCCACGGAGTTCTTGAAGTCCGCGACCTTGCTCTGGAACTGGGCCCGGTGGAACTCGGGCGCGTAGGGCAGCGGGTGCACGAGGTCGCCGGTGCGCTTGCCCGCGGCGACGGCCGCGAGCTCCGTGGCCTCGTCGTTCGTGAAGATGCCCGCGTGGTGCTTGCCCGTGGCGACCATCTGCGCGCCCGTCAGCGTCGCCATGTCGACGACCAAGTCCGGGACGCGGCCGCCGGGCAAAGTGCCCGGCGTCGTCGCGTGCGCGACGCCGTCGGAGAGCACGAGGCGCCCCTCGGCGTCCGTGTTGTTCACCTCGCAGGTGACGCCGGAGAAGAACGTGAGGACGTCGTCGTTGCGGAACGCGCCCGGGCCGACGGCGTTCTCCGCGAGGCATAAAGCGCAATGCAACGAATCTTTTGTGCCGATGGCCACGGCGGCCTCGAAGGCGCCCATGAGCGCGGCGGCGCCCCCCATGTCCATCTTCATGCCGCACATGCCCGCGACGGACTTGATCGCGAGGCCGCCCGTGTCGTAGACGATGCCCTTGCCCACGAGGCACACGGACTTGGCCGCGGCGGCCGGGACGTAGCTCAACACGCAGAGCGCCGGCGGCTCCGCGGCGGCCTTGCCGACGCCCCAGAGGCCGCCGTAGCCCTGGTCGCGGAGCGCCTCGCCGGCGATGACGTCCACGGTGACGTCGCGGCCCAGCGCCTGGAGCCGCGCGGCGACGGCCCGGGCCTCGCCGACGAACGCCGTCGTCGTCAGCTGCTCCGGCGGCGTGTCCACGAGGCGCGCGGCGAGGCGCACGGACGCCGCCGCCGCGCGGCAGGGCAGGTAGGCGGCCTCGGGCAGCGCGGGCGCGCCGGCGACGACGAAGCTCACGCGCGCGGCGCCGCCGCCGCCGGACCGCTTCATCGAGAAGAGCGGGAACGCGCGCGCGACGGCGCAGGCCGCGCCGGCCGCGTGTTTCGCGTCGTCGAGGACGCAGACGATGGCCGCGCCGCCGTCCTCCGCGACGCCCTCGGCCGCCGCGGGGCCGACGAGCGCGGAGATCGCGTAGTTGCGGATCGGGCTGCAGTGGCGCGAGCAGACCTCGGGCAGCACGGCCGCCACGAGCCGCGAGCCGTCCGCGAGCAGCGTGCTCGTGCTCTTGCCGGCGTCGCCCGGCTTCACCTTCTCGACCATCGTGCGCCACAGCGCCGCATTCATGCTGCCGACGGCCGTCGCGCCCTCGAACATGCCCGCGAGGTTGTGCTGGCGCCCGATGATGACGGTCACCGCCGCCTTGGCGGTCGACAGCGGCTCGAACGTGAGATCGACGGGCATGGTTATTGCTTTCGCGTTGCAGGCGAAGCTTGGGTTGCGAGCTTTCGGGTTGCAGGCGGTCGTTGCGGCGATTTTGCAGCGGTGAACAGTGCGATCTGCAGGGATTTCAGCGGGTAGCGCGCGTCTATACGAATAAAAAACGAGCCAGCCCAGACTGCGGGGCCTGCCTGCTGATTCGGCGAGCGGCACCTTACGGCAAACCAAAAAAAATGTGGTAAAAAAAATGTGGTAAAAGCCGACCTCTCGAGCCCTCGATGGCAAGCGCATAAAGCCGCCTCTGTGGGGGCTCGCGAACGCGGACTGTCAACATTCACAAAAACCATGGGCAAAAAAATACCGCGGGACAATGGCAAGCGCACGAAGAAGCAGGAGCACCGCGTGGCCCGCGCGACGCGCCGGGGCGTCCTCGCGGCGCCGCGGGCCATGCCGCTCCACTTCCCCGAGCAGGCGCAGCACCTCGTCTGCGAGCTGCTATGCGAACTGCGGCTCGCGGAGCTGGACGCCGACGACGACGAGCGTTCGCGGCTCGAGCGCTACAAGCGGTCGCCGCACAAGGTGCTCAAGGAGCTCGAGACCGCGCGGCACTGCCCGTCGGCCGCGGCGGCCGCGGCCGCGCCGCCGCCGCCGCGCGCGGCGCCCGCGGCCAAGCTCTCGGGCCGCGTGCGCCTCAACCTCTGCCGCGAGGCCAAGGGCGGCAAGGGCGGCGGCGCGAAGCTGCTCGTCGTCGAGCGGAGCGACGACGTGGACGTGCTGCTGAAGAAGGCCAAGAAGTTGCTGAGCACGAAGCGCGAGCCCAAGTTCGCGTACGAGGAGGCGACGGGCCTCGAGCTCCGCGACACGCGCACGATCGAAAACGATACGCGCGTCTGCGTCGCCGACGCGCCGCCGTCGGCCGCGCCGCCGCCGCCGCCGCCGCCGCCGGAGAAGCGGCGGGGCGTGAAGCTCGGGTCGTCGCGCGCGGCCGCGGCGCTCGAAGACGCCCCGGACCCGAACGACCGGCCCCCGTCCTTCGAGCTCGCGGCCGGGCCGCCGCTGCCGCCCGCGGCCGTCGACGGCGCCGCCGCCGCGGCCATGGCGGAGCAGCGGGCGAAGCTGCCCGCGTACCGCGCGCGCGGCGAGCTCCGCGCGGCGCTCGCGGCGGGCCCCGTCGCCGTCGTCGCCGGCGCGACGGGCTGCGGCAAGTCGACGCAGGTGCCCCAGCTCCTGCTCGAGGACGCCGACGCCGACGGTCGACGGTGCAAGGTCGTCGTCACGCAGCCGCGGCGCGTCGCGGCCGTCGCGCTCGCGGAGCGCGTCGCCGCGGAGCGCGGCGAGGCGTGCCGCCTCGGCGACGGCGACGTCGGCTACAGCGTGCGCCTCGACCGCCGCGGCTCGAGCCGCACGCGCCTCGAGTTCTGCACCGTGGGCGTGCTCCTGCGGCGGCTCCCGCGCGGCGGGCCGCTCGACGCGACGCACGTCG